AACGACAGTGTGGGTCCTTTTATGAAATATATGTGTATATAAAAATTTGTATTCATAAAAATCTAAGTCACAAAATGTAGTTATGCACTAGATGCAATCCGTCCATTCTTAATGAATCTTGGTAATTGTACATAAAGATTTCAGTGTTATAAGTAACACATTTTATAAGAGGAAAATAATAAAGATAAACATTTTGGAAATAAAATCCGGTATGCTGTCCATGCTTTGTACTCCCTGCAAAATTGACTTCCAGTATTTGAGCGCATTTGAGAGCATTATCAACATGTTGTGAAGCAATAAAATTGACAACAAAATACCACAATAATTTGTTTTGTCAAGGTTTTTGTTGGTGCTGTTATAACAAAGAATGATTCTAATGTGTTAAAAATGATACCCTTTCTTTAAAAATTCAGACTTGTGTTTCGAATTTTATACTTTCTGGACCCTAATCAACTAACTTTGGATGATTCAGGGAAAAGTTAAACAGAATTTTCATCACAATTTTTTTACAATATCTAGTTGAAACTGCGTTTTTTTGTAGATGTCAACCTGTTCCGCATATGTGATGCGATCAAGCTAAATGAGTCGTTTGTCAGGAACTTTCATTTGGAGATTCATGCCAACATAGGGCCACTTGATCACATCACTTCATCACATCTCTTGGTGTTTGGACGTCCATAATTTTTGAACTAAAGATGGTATCAGCATGTGGTTTTAATGGCAGTAATGCTGAGATTGTGCTCTTTTCAAATCTGTAAAAAAAAGAAAAGATTTACCAGGGTCGACAAACAACTCATTTAGCTTGATTGCATCACATACGTTTTGACAAAAAGACGCAAAAAGGAAAACTCAAATAAGGAAAAAAGTAGGACTCGAGTTTTATCAGTTCTCTTTCTTCTTTCGCTGATAATTTATTCTTATAAAAGGTTTATAACTCTTCTACAACCCAGCCAGTGGTGAGATGGCCTCGGTATTCGGTGGGTCCATTCTGGCTTCAAAGACAGAAAACAAAACAAAAATATTAAATAGCTCAAAACTGTACAACCATTCATTCAAAAAACTAAATAATTAAATAATAAAGTCAACAAGCTGCGGCCTAATGCAATACGAGTACAGATGAAAAGCTGGATATGGGAAAACGATCTCAATACAGAAAGGAATGGATACTGTTATTTAATTGTGTCAAGTCACGATTCGCAAGTGAAATGAGGCATTTCTGGGTTTCTATACTCGACTAAACCATTTTGTATGTTCAGTTGATTATTATTTTTTTTACAGAATTTACTTAAGAATGTTTATAGCCATTGCAAGAAAGCAGTGTTATAATGGACACGTGAAAATATCAACAGAAACCCCTTTTTCTAGAATAAGTAAAGCATTCTGTAGTCCAGTCCATACAAGTTATTGCTAATCGTCCCAACGGAAGTCACATGACAGGCTATTGGAATGAACCATCACAAAGGCATACTTCAACTTGTTAATGTTTATCACCCATGTGACTTGTGACTGACTTGTGATTGACTTGTGACTGACTTGCATTGACTTGTGACCTGACCAGTAATTACCTCGTGATTGACTTGACTTGCGATTGACTTGTGAATGACTTGCGATTGACTTGTGATTGACTTGTACTAACTTGCGACTGACCTGTGACTGACTTGTGACTGACTTGTAACTGACTTGTGATTGACTTGCGACTGACTTGCGACTGACTTGCGATTGACTTGTGATTGACTTGTGAATGACTTGTGATTGACTTGTGACTGACTTGCGACTGACCTGTGCTGACTTGCAACTGACTTGCGATTGACTTGTGACCTGACCAGTAATTACCTTGTGATTGACTTGCGACTGACTTGTGATTGACTTGTGATTGACTTGCGACTGACTTGCGACTGACTTGTGATAGACTTGACCACAACTCTGCAGTAATCTTGATGTCTGCTGATACAAATTCTTATTCTCTACAAAATCTTTCAACCCAAAAAGATTGTATACTGGATGGGATCTCGTTAGATTTAGACCAACGAAAGCTTAAAAAAAAAGAAGGCTTGTTTCACAATAACAGATAGGCCTAAATTGGGAGATAAATTTCTTCATCCAGTGTTACATCTGTACTCATTTTGCGGCAGAAACTTGTTCCAGAAAAAAAAGTAATAATAATATAACTCAGAGTCTGTGTAACATTAAAACTCTAGTTCTCCAAAAGTTTTAACACAAGTGCACTCCATTACTCACAGAAATTTATTTTAAATAAAACCTCTTTCAGTGAGTTTCATAACTATGTCACGTGCCCGAGCACACGTACTATATAAAGATACAAGTTTCGGAGATTTCAACAATCTCCATTCTTTTTTTACAATATCACAATTTTTCACACAATCCGAGACAAAGATCCAATGAAAGTTCCTCTGTTGATAACATATATATGAACACAATCCACAACAGGGTTTTTTATCAATTTTTTTTCTCCTTAAAAAAACAAAACCTTTTACCAAAAAAGAAGATCAAACGTTTCACTGCACAAAAACAACACGTACACCATGTCCGACTACAGAAAAAAAATTGCCGAGTTGGTTTCGACAATCAAAAAAACGGAATGGTTGAAAAAAATGGTTCTTTGTACAACTACACAACATATTGGCAAGAACAGAAATCTTCTTAAACATGCGTCAGTACTATTTATACAGTTTTAAGCACAGTTTGGGGTCGTAGGTCAAGCAAACTCTGCGTAACCAAGGTTAAAATACTAAGCATGTTCCATCTTTGTAGCAACATATAGTCGTTGCAATTGTACACAATCTGGCCCAATGTTTCAATTTCGTGACCCCCCAAAAAACCGGATGGAGAAAGATTTAAGCACTTGTCGTAACCAATTCCTCACAAGTCAATCCGCACGTCGACGACTCGTCCAGTCTCAAGTCACAACACCAACTATTCAAATGACATTAACAAAGCTACAGGCCTTTCTTTCGTTTGTAAAAATTAAACACCATTTTGTATGGGTTGCAACAAGGGTGTTCATTCAAGCCATAGTTTGCAACAGATTTTGCCTAAAATTACATATTAACCAGTTCACGCTGGGATTATTTCAACAAGAACGGAACCAGGAGCGGGATTACTTTTCACTCGACCTCAAGCCAGGTGGATTGAAGCCGTCACTCTCGGGCAGCACACTCATATTTCCGGCCTCGCTTGCTGTGAGCAGGTTGCTGACAGATATTTCCGGCCTCGCTACCTGTCTGTCATCCGTTCTGAATACCGCAAAACTCTTGCGTGTATACACGGCCTCCAGCGCAAACTGGTTAAGACCCTCATCATCTAAGACAGATGCATTTTTGTTAAGGCTTCAGTAGCGTTTGTTGGTTATTTGTATTTTCAACAATCCAATGATATGTTTGGAAACATCAATGAGTAATTTTGTGTTTTTGCGACGTTGACCTTCCATAGTGTGCCAACTGCAGGTTGGCATATAGTCGGAACCACGGGTGGGCAAAGACAACTCTATTCCTTGTTCGTTCCGTTTCAACCAGAGACAGGTCTAGTGATTTGACTTGTGATGGTCTCGACTACAACACTGTTAACCAGACAACGGGATACATTAAAAAAACTTCCTCTAACTAGCTAAACTAATCCAGATACTATTTAAACCAGGTTGTAAATAATCCAGGAAATAATCTCAAATATTCAGTCCATTATCTTAACTCATGAAATCAGCTTACTGTGCTTCGGAGGGTTAAAAAAATTAACATGCATTACTTTCTCTTTCACTAAATTGCCAAAAGACAAAAAACAACACGCTCCTTTACAAGCACAGATTTTTTATTTTTTTTTTTCTTAGAGATTTGCCACTTAAACAAATTGGAAATGAAACCACCACAGACCAAAATAAATAACGAAATCATTAAAACATGCACTAATGAAATAAACAATCTCTATTATCAGCCATTCTTTTAAAATGGTTTTCAGGATTTTGAAATTGGTCACCAGATCTTTCGAACAGAAACCTTCCATTATTTTATGAAACAACAAACTTGCACTGTATTTGTTTTCATTAATTTTGGTTATGCCAGCAGTATGCACGCAATGAGAAAATTTGTGCTTCTGAAAATGTTGGCAAAAGTTATCAAAGCATTCAACATTTGGCAAAAGTTCTAAAAGCATTTAAACATTGCAAATGCCATTTCAACATGTCTGTGTTGTTCAAAACTTGTTTTTCAATGGCACAGGTTCATTATAAAAAAATGGGGCAGTTGAACACGTGGGATTAATTAACCAATCGCTTGCAGGCTTTTATGATCACGATGATGTGCGCCAATCACAGCACTGCTCTTATGATCATCATTTACATATTTCACAGAGTCAACCAATCAGAACAGTGTTTTTGTGAGGTAGCCGGTGATGTCCACCAATCGTGTGTCTAAGTGAGGACCAGCCTCTTTTTAATTAAAAACAAAACACCCCCCCCCCCAAAAAAAAAACCCATTAACACCAGTGACTCCCAAACATGGCTTGGTTAAACTTAAACTCTACAATAAATGTAAAATGATGTTGAAATTGGGGGAAAATGACACCTTGATCGATAAATGACAACATATCCCCAAAATTCTTTCCAATGTCCTTTACAGATGATGCAGGGTAAACTAGATTCCTACATTCTGCCCCACAAACTGACAATATTTTTAAAAAAAAATATAAAAAAATACCATTTTCAAGTCTTTTGGTATAACAAGAAGTGGGGCAGATAGGGGAAATATTTGGGGGAATTGTGCCTTTGATGATACAAGCATGGCATTTGGCACACAGTCAGAGTATGTCTTATAGGAAAGATATTTGGCTATAGGGCCATCGCAGATTTGTTCTTTGAAAAAACATAGGTAGAACAACAAGCCATTTTCAAAATTTTCAAAATGGCTGCCATTGCTGGCCATTCTACCTATATTTTTGCAAAGGACAAATCTGCGATGGCCCTATAGCCAAATATCTTTCTTAAAGACATACTCTGACTGTGTGCCAAATGCCATGCTTGTATCATCGTAGGCACACCTATCTGCCGTACTAAAAGCATATAATATGAGCTAACGTTTTGCCTTGCATTCGTTCCAAAGAGAAACTGTGCAGAGAAATACGGTGAAATTACCCCAAAATCAAAACGGGATAAATAAAGAGTGTCTACAACTGTGCAGTTATGTACAACGTGGTGTGGGTGAATATGCTGCCAAAAAAACCCAATACATTATATATTATATCTCATATAAATTAAAATCTTTTCAACTAGAACGTAATGATCGAAACAAAATGGACCCCCACAAGATTCTATTATAGAAATCAACAGCTAAAGTGACGGATACGACCTGATCGTGTATAATAACACAAACTAAAAGATTTTAGTGGTGTTTTTCTTAAAATAAATACATGTACTTCATATACTAAGGAGTGAAAGTAGAATAGATCATATGGATATACACAGAAGAACAAAAAATGCAAAATTGTCTTTGGTTTTTGACGCAGTTATAGCAGTAATTAATAATAACACAAAACATTACCAAGATTTTGATCAATATTAGGTTTTGCCCTTCACCGACATATAAACACTGTATACTCAGTGTGTTACCTCCTGCAGCTCCACAAAATTCGCCCTTGGAAATTGAAAGGTTTCATTTCTAGGGAAGGATAAGATTTTGATGTTAAACTTCACAATGATATTCAGTATAGCATACAGAATTATCGGGAAAAACAAATTACTTTCACTGAAAGTATGATTATGACTTCCCAAAATGCACTCTTGTCTCATATTTAACATTTTTTTTTAGAAGAGAGTAAGATGAGATCTTCAGAAGGCAACTGTTTTGATAGTCGATATTCAAACGTGATTAGCCGATTGCAAAATGCTTAGGTATTTATGTAGATCGTTGAAGATGATGAGTTCAAATCCTGGCTGATGCATTTGGTTGGTGTATGGGTTGGAATCCTGGCCGAAGCATTCGGATGGTGTGAGGGTTCGAATCCTGGCTGATGCACTTGGCTGGAGTGTGGGTTCGAATCCTGGCTGATGCATTTGGCTGGTGTGTGGGCTCAAATCCTGGCTGATGCATTTGGCTGGTGTGTGGGTTCGAATCCCGGCTGATGCACTTGTCTTGTGCGTGGGTTCGAGCCTGGCTGATGCATTAGGCTAGTGTGTGGGTTCGAATCCTGGCTGATGCTTTAGGCTAGTGTGTGGTTCGAATCCAGGCTGATGCACTTGGGGTGTGTGTTGGTTGGAATCCTGGCTGATGCATTTTGCTGGTGTGTGGGTTCAAATCCTGGCAGATGCATTTGGCTGGTGTGTGGATTCGAATCCCGGCTGGTGTATTTAGGTGGTGGGTGTGTTCGAATCCTGGCTGATGCACTTGGCTCGTGTGTGGGTTTGAATTCCAGCTGATGCATTTGGCTGGTGTGTTGGTATGAATCCTAGCTGATGCATTTGGCTGGTGTGTGGGCTCGAATCCCAGCTGATGCATTCGGCCGGTGTGTAGGTTCCAATCCCAGTTGATGTATTTGGCTGGTGTGTGGGTTCGAATCTGGGCTGATGTATTTGGCTGGTGTGGGTTTGAATCCTGGCTGTTGCATTTGGCTGATCTGCCGATACATGACAATGTTTTTTTTAATGTTTATGAAATCAATTGCCAGAGGTTCAACTCCCTGCATGGCACTGAAATTTGAGCCAATCCAAGATTCATTGACGATCATCTGAACTCTTTTGTGAATTGGCACTCAAACCTTAGCGATGGGTGCAGCAACTTGTAGATTATATGATGTTGGTGGTTCGATTCGAACGTGGCACTGATTTTAGATCTTTCAGCTTGCACGATAGCACAGTTGAAAATTTTCTTTATAAACTCATTTTGGCAAAATTAACTGATAAGTGGGATTTTGGACTGACGTTTCTCCTCGCTCCTTGGCGGTGTTGCATTAAAGCTTGGCGATTTCTCCAGATGCGGTATAAATCTCGTCCAAAAAAGACTAGGTTGAAACAGACAAAAACATTTATCCTAGAGCACAGTTTGACACAATGGACATACTCAAAAAGAGACGAAACTCAACAAAACCTCAGCGACTCGGTGAGAAGTCGGTGAACGTCAAATCCTGTACATGAAATCTCACACTTAGAATGACTTAAAAAGAGTAACAGTCCACCAGTTCTGGAACCACAAGAAATTTTGAAAGTTGCACTGGATGATCTACGAAAAGCGCCGTCACAGTTCACAGCACTTCGGCTTCCAAAGACCAGTGCTTTTTAACAGTTCCACAGGGTTTTAACTCTCCGTTAAGGGAGTCCCACAGTTGCAGTGATTTTTTTTTTCTCATGAGAATCATCAGTACGTGGATACATCACACGTTTATGTTTTTCCTTAGGAGTCACAGTGTTCTTGTAATGGGCGAGCGGTCATGTTTCTAGCACCATGTACGTTGTCCAGTTTTTGGTTTGTTTTCACGACGGATGGCATTTTGAGGTGTGATATAAAGTCTTCGGATGAAGTCTTTCAGAGGTAGCCAAGATCGAGCGCGTGGTGTAACGCCGCCAGGTCCGAGTGACTGGAAACTCGCCAGAATGGGAAATCCATCTGAAGTAAGGGAAAGAAAAACAGAAAAATTAACATCATTAAAGGGAATATGCATCATTTGCTTTTGCTGTAATTTTCAGAAATGGATGGAATTGGGGGGTTGGAAATATATAGCAAATATAGTTACACTGACTTTTTTGAGGTTTGGGTTCGAAAATGCTATAAAAACCAAGGAAAACAATCATTTTCCTGTAGTCTGGTTCCCTGACTCCATTTAAGAAGAAACAGAGCAGTTTACATATATTGGGGAATTGTAAGGTCAGGGAACCAGTCTAGCTGGCTTGTACCCGTTCATAGGTGTGTAATCGATTGCAAACAAGTGCGATGGTCAACTGGGGCCAGTATTTGAAAAAAAGCCAGTTTTTTCCAACGCTGATCGGCCAACCAGCGTTGGAAATTGATACAAAAATACCACTTTTCTTGAAAATGACAGTATACCAGGTGCCATGATTTTACAGGATGCTTTACACTGTCATTCACTAACAGTCCAGCAAGGTATTTCAAAATGATTGGGTAGTTTTATTTTTTGATGTTTGCAAATGTTGTATTTTTCCTTTAAATTCAACAAAACATCTAAAAAAATTTTTTTTTAAATTTTTCTTCATAAATACCCAGGGGGACAGTAACCCTGTTTCTACTGGTCAATAGCATGTCCCATGCGTGGTCCTAAACTGCCGTTTAAACCCTGCATAGTGTTCAAATGGCAGCATTTAAAACTGGTTACAACCTTCAGCTTGGGCTTTTTCGGCGACCAGGCCCCTAACCACATGTTTCCAACTGCTAGGTCATATTTTATCACCTTATTTTGTAACATTGCAATTTATGGTCAAGTCAAATATAAACAATAAAAGGTACTGATGAGTACCATGTAAAGAACGCAGTTCATAAAAAGAAAACTTCAGCCAAAAAAAAAGAAAATATTATTTTGAAAAGGAAATGCAAACTTACAGTCAGCAAATGCTTACAAGTGGTCAGAATTTGAAACTTGTTTTGCAAGTAAAATATCCTGGCAAAGAAATCTTGTTTTTATTTTTTAGCTCCCCTGAAAATCCAGATTAATTTTAAGATGTTAACTCACAGATGCTTCAATACATGTGATGCGTTTTGGCAAAATGAGACAGAACTGGACACAGGCCATAGTGAAGAAAAATGCAAAGAGCGAATGATGGATTTTTTTTTTTTCTTCGATTTTCAGATTTATTGATATTTGTTATCTTATATGTCTACTACACATATTGTAAATAAACAGTATACAAAATTGTGGAATAAAAGTTTTTTAAGGGAAAAGCAATTGGCATATTTCATTTTCACGACTACAAAACTTGAAACTTTAAAGGCCTGTTTCTCAGTATTTCACTTTTTTGACATGTCGATAAACGTGAACAGCCATATTTGTCAATGGAATGTTCGATTGAATTGCAACAAACAGTATTGTAAGGAGAACTTTATTCTCTTTCCTAATACCCGCAAACCCTAATTTCGACCTCCGCCCAGTTCTGTCTTATTTTGCCAGAACGCCTCACATATGTGTCAAGCAGGGCATGGGTCACTTCAATGTGATGTCATTGGAGTGAATTTTCAAAGGTTTTTTTTTTTTTTTTCAGAATAAAAAAAAGGTTTTTATTTTTATCAGAATGTGTATTGTGCTTTCACCAACACCACCCAAAAATAGAAACTTAGTATACAGTTAATCTTCTTTTCTCAAGAATGAATACAATTCAGCTGATATCTGAGTATGATGCAGCGTTAAAACTCAAAAATTAAATAACATTTTCCTTATCCCCTCATTTTTTTAACAACAAAATGTAACATTTTTGGGAGAACGTAGCTTTAGGCAGTCACAATGCGATTCCACATTTTGAGCCAAAGGCCGTTTTTCTAAATCAAGTTTGGAATTTTGACATAACTTTTAAGATAAAACAGACAGCCGATAGTTCGACCTGATTCGTACATTTTGAATCGAAATACTATCAAACAAAGACCAGAAATTAAGCAGACAAAGAGTTCAGAAACAGAACAGTCCTTGAAAGCCGCTCCTTCGGTCGTGAAATTGCTCCCATCATTAAGAAAGCTTGGCCGAATTTTAAGTCCCAACACCCCCGTGGCACACCAGACCCTGTGTTTGATGCGAACGTGCCTGTTTCCACCTCCTGGGACCTCCGCGGTGTTCCCTTCCCCTGCCTTGTGGGCCAAGCGGTAGATTGTCTTCAACTTACCCCCAGGTTACTCCACATAACACAACTAGGGACCCCATTCCCGTGAGATTCGCCTTATCTGGGCTGCAGCCCCGCAATTGACTTGGTTTTGTTTTTTTCCAAATTTTCTTTTTAATAACATCAATTTAGTAGGGTTTAAAGTGATAACATTTAGAGAAAAAAAGAGACAGACCAGTGCTCAAACATGGTATTACACTGAATTTCTGACTCAAACAATGGAGTTGTGAGATCCACTGTTTGAAAACTAAGATATTGGTGAGATTGCATGTTTATCCAAAATCTACGTCCGTAAATTGTTTCACTACATGTAGGTCTGAAAAGTGAATGAGTTCTTTGCCAAGTAGTTTTCTCTTCAAGAGATGGTTTATGTTGAAAATCCGACATCGAAGTTTATCACCAAAGAACAAACTTCTGCTGTGTTTCATAAGTTTATCATAACTTTATATCCAAAGAACAAACTTGTGCCGTGTTTCATCATTCCAGCTATGTCAACTGTACGCAGATGTACATCACCATTTTACGGCCAACAGTAAAACTAGGTTGTACAAAACTTCTGTAACTTAATGAAGCTAAGCAGTTTCCCCGCGATACTTTATATCACATCCATCATGCATTCGCACTTTAGGAGGAACTTGCCACCGTTCTAAAGTTCCGACAATGTTTTCGTCTCAGCAAATGGATTGCTTCCTATAGTGGCTATAAGTCATTCCCCAGGAATCCAAATCGTTTATTCGGACCATTTCCTTTGCCAACGACTCTTTTGCCTACAGCCAGCTAAAACCCTATCCCTCTGACTTTATTGGTTGGCCAACCCTGTGGTCAAACCTAAATGATTTTTCCCCGCGGCGGCCGAAAAGCAACACCTCCAAGTTTGCTGCCGATTTTTTTCCCCTCCTTTTATTCTCTTTTTTTTCTGGGCACGATACTAATGAGTTGTCGTTCTGTTATAACTGGGCAGTTTGTCACTTGCTTTTGGTTTCTGATGCTGAGCTATTTGTTGCCTAGAGGTTTTTCAGGAAATCAAGTGATCAATAGGCTAATTCTGACCGGGTAATCGTAACTCTCAAATCCACGGGGGGGGGGGAAAAAGTGTTCAGGACAGAGAGAAATGACACAACGGACTAAAAGTTCCAACCAGTGCAAAAGTTCACATCCAAATGTGGTAAAGTGAAGATTACTGCGTAACTCTTTTAACAACAGATTTGACTGCCTCCATCAAATGGAATTCCATCAAAGCCCTATTATTGTTGAGCCAATAGACCATTATCATGTTGCGGCCATCTTGATTTTTTTTCCCCATTCAAATCAATGTAACCAAAGCGAGGCTGGAAGGAAAAATAGTCTGGTTCCTTTTTGCACAAACAAACATTATCATTCAGTACTGTTATTGGATACGGGGAAGAAGACTGAAATGGTGGCAGCATGATAAAGCTCTATACACAGCTCACAATAGCGTTAAAACCAACTTTTAATGAATTGTTCCACAGTGAGGCATTGTGAGTTTGCCAAATTTGTTTTTGAAACGTACATGTAATGTCTCTTTCCTTAAGTTTACTTCGGAATATCTACAAGTGGCAATTTCTAAAACTAGTCTTCAAATTTACAACTTGACAGTGGCCTTCATGGGTGTATCACGATAGAATCATTATGAACAACCTTTTAATCATTTCTTAATATATTAAAGGGAATATACAACATTTGCTGTTGCTGTAATTTTCAGAAATGGAAAGATTTATAGCAAATATTGTTACACTGACTTGTTTGAAGTTTTGTGTTCGTAGATGCTAGTAAAACCAAGAAAAACAATCATTCTGTAGTCTGGTTCTGTGACCCCACTTAAGATGACACAGAGCAATTTATAGGCGTCGGGGAATTGTACAGTCAGGGAACCAGTCTTTCTGGCTTGTACCCATTCACATGTGTTTAATCCATTGCAAACACAATGTGGACTAACTAAATACGATACACTTGGGGCAGTATTTTCCAACGCTGGTCGGCCGACCAGCATTGGAAATTGATACAGAAATACCACTTTTCTTGAAAATGACAGCACACTAGGTGCCTCGACTTTACAGGATGCTTTAGACTGTCATTCACTAACAGTCCAGTAAGGTATTTCATAATAATTTGGTAGTTTTGTTTTTTGACGTTTGCAAATGTATATTCCCTTTAACAAAATTTTTTATCAAGCTCAAAAGCATGCCGCAGACAAAATGGTTCGCCTTGAAACGTAGTGTGGCAATTGTGCATTTTCTAAAATATCAGGCCTGCATTACATACGTCGAAAGTGCGAAATTGATGTCAACTTCAGTGTCATTGATTCTAAAGAAGAATTTTTTCCTGCTTTCACTCCAGCGAAGAAAAACAAAATTTCCCGCAAACACAAAAACCCTTTGAACGATGTGAGAGACCTCATCACCAGACTAAATTGGGAAAAATTAGCTGTAATAAAAAGTCTATATTCGCACTTTTGGGGCACTTTATCGCCGGCGCGCCCCGGGCCTGAAAGCCGGGACTTGGTAAATAAAGTTTCGTCAAAAAAGCGGGGCCGGGACCTAACGGAGGGGGAAGATTTAATTAGCAACCTATTGACCCCTGAGTGATGGCAATTACGGTGTGTGACAATCACGTTAACGGCCGCTGCCTGCGCCGTAGCCTTGGGCAACGCCGTAGCCGGGGACAAGATGAAATTTCCTGCCCATAAATATTCCGATTTGGCCGGCCGCTACCGCTTCGGGACGGACAAGCGAAGGGTGTCTCATTAAGCGCTGCTAATTGCATTTCATTGGTAACCCTAACATTGGGCTGACGTCGCTGCTTTGAACTGCTTCGGCAATGCTGCTTGATTTGGCGCATTCTGGCTGACCTTTTGAATTCAAATATCCGTGCTTTCTTTGGTGATGCACTGAATTTTCCAGCAGTTTCTGAATTACAAGCTTTCTAATGTGATATCAAATGACTAAAAAGGGTTCATGATAATAAAGTAACAAGCAAATTAAAGTTCCTAATTTTCAAAATTATGAGCATCACAGTCCAAGTTTTAACAATATTATTGTACACCAATCACTGGAAGTAGCATAAAATTAAAATTAAAAGGTTTTTTGGCAAGACAAAAAAATAGTGCAGAACGTAATTGCTTTTTCCTTCGAATTATCTTTTGCTTTTTGTAACAATGACAGTTCCTCACAATTCTCAGTATGATCAATTCCAGCATCATGTAATGTCCGTGACAGAGCTTTTAAGAGGTCAGCGAATATACCTGAAAATGTATTTTGCAATCTTATACATCCATCATCTAGTAATGGTAAAGGAGATGACGGACTAGGAGTTTTGGATCATTTTTTTTAAATCGTTAATTCGACATCATGGTCAATTGGCTCTGTCAGACACACTACACTTCCTTTTATAATGCTTGAATTGCCCCTATGCAAGATTTGTTCAAAGCTTAGGACTCAAAAATAGTTCAGGCCACCTCAGACACATTTTCTTAGGTTGGGGCAAAAATTTGAACCGAGTCGAAATAAAAACTGTAAACCGTTACCCACCTGTTTAGCAGCTTGCTCCTCATCTTTGGCATCTCCGATTGCAACGTAAGTGATTTTCCGACCGAAGCGCGCCACGATGCGTTCAAAGCAACTCTCCTTTCCTACCCGTGTGGCACTGTAGACATTCTCAATGTTGAAGACCCCGCCTAGACCGTATAAGAGCACCTTGGCCACGGCCGGTACTAGCTGGGTGGTTGTGACTAACACATTCACACAATTTGATCTGTGAAAAGTAACAATAATAAAGATATTAATGTGGCGTTTATACAGGGTGGTGCAAAAAGAAGGAAACCCACTTTTGACAGGAATTTTAACCTACTTACTTAGCTTATTTTATCTTTTTTTTTTTATAATGTAGTGAAGTATTGCTCTTCAACCGTACGTGGTGAAAACATCTTTGAAAAAATCGCAAGAATAGTGTTATGCTAATTTGAATACAAGTCACCAAAATCACTGTTGTCCATGTATAAATCAAATGTAGTGTTTTTTGTCTTCAAATTCAGCTACGGAGCTCAGTCAAGCGGATGGAATAAAGCCGTCTGTAGAAAACAGGTTTGGCACATGAAATTTTTAAAGTACCATATCTTAGAGACAAAATATGCATTTGCAATCATTTTTTTTCGTCACTTATGTTTAAAAATCAATATTTTAATACCATTCAATTGAATTTTTGAAATATACTCAACAAGTAGGTGAAAATTGTTGTCAAAAGTGACTTCTTTTTGCATCACCCTGTATATAGGGCTTTATACCAAAGGTCTCAAAGTGCTTCACAATTATTACCCCTGTTTATCGGGCCATGAGACAATTTTTTCTGCAGCAGCTCGACATCAGCGCACTCTGGTCTATATACCTTAACAGATAAACCATTTACACTCCTAGGAGAGAGGCAATTGTAGTAAAATGTCTTGCCCAAGGACACAAGCACCATGTTCCCCTTCCATAGGCAATTTCATGCAGCTTTTAAAAACAGAAATTTGCGATGCACAAAAAATACTTGCAAAGAAAATAAAAACATGTTAATGGCCAAATGTGACAGGAACTATACTGGCTTGAACTGGTTTTCAGCTAATTTTTACCGAACATTTTTTTAACAACTGCACACAGTGTTCCCAGTGTGCATCATACAAACATTTTCTGGCAATACAAATTCCACAAATCAGATTGTCTTTTTACTCCTACAATTGGATAATCTTGAAGTATACATGGAACAAGTACAGGAACAATGCTATGTCTATTTGGAGTGGTGAAGCTCTTTTGTATTTCAATACTTAAATTTACCCACTTGAAATGGTGTCCTCCTATTAAAAATAGTCTGCCATACTTCAAAAAGGCTAATTGATTCTGTACATAAATGTTCATGTCAACAACGATCTCAACAAAAGTTTGCAAACCACCAGGACTATCTAAGCACAACAACAGTGAAAGACTGAGATACAAGTGTGAAGATGACCGACAAAGATGCGTCGCCATGGTTACCTGGAGTTAATGATGGAGAGAGACTTGAGCGCGATGGTCAGCCACGAGTCCGTCATGGCCTCAATCTCGGCTCGCAGCTGCAACCACTGCTCCCGCTTCTGTGGGCCCAGCAAACCTGCTGGCAAAATGGAGACCAAATCTATAGGTCAAGATAACAGGAAAAAAAAGAAAAAGGGCAAGGTCGTGAGCCGTGATGAAAATGTGTCGTGGTGACTGAAACGGTGGGGAGACGAGCATGGAGAGGGTCGGGAGACAGGCGTAGAAAAGGGTGGGGATGGGCACAGAAAAGGGTGGGGATGGGCACAGTACAGGGTGGGGATGGGCACAGAAAAGGGTGGAGATGGGCACAGAAAAGGGTGGGGATGGGCACAGAAAAAAGCGGGGGATGGGCACAGAAAAGGGTGGGGGATGGGCACAGTACAGGGTGGGGATGGGCACAGAAAAGGGTGGGGATGGGCACAGTACAGGGTGGGGATGGGCACAGTACAGGGTGGGGATGGGCACAGAAAAGGGTGGGGATGGGCACAGAAAAGGGTGGGGAATGGGCACAGAAAAGGGTGGGGATGAGCACAGAAAAGGGTGGGGATGGGCACAGAACAGGGTGGGATGGGCACAGAAAAGGGTGGAGATGGGCACAGAAAAGGGTGGGGATGGGCACAGAAAAGGGTGGGGGATGGGCACAGAAAAGGGTGGGGATGGGCACAGAAAAGGGTGGGGATGGGCACAGAAAAGGGTGGGGATGGGCACAGTACAGGGTGGGGATGGGCACAGAAAAGGGTGGGGGATGGGCACAGAAAAGGGTGGGGGATGGGCACAGAAAAGGGTGGGGATGGGCACAGAAAAGGGTGGGGGATGGGCACAGAAAAGGGTGGGGGATGGGCACAGAAATGGGTGGGGGGACGGTCATAGACAGGGTTGGAGAGGTGGGTACAAAAAAGGGTAGGGGAGACTGGCACAGAAAGAGTGGGGGAGGGCAGTAAGTCCAGATGGGATGGGGGAGATGGGAACAGAAAGCGCGGGAGAGATGGGCACAGAAAGGGTGGGGAGATTGACACAGAAAGGGTGGGGGTGATGGGCACAGAGAGGGATGGTATACCCATGGGGTAGTGGAGGTAGGAGGGGAAATACGCGTACATACTTTTTTAGAATCATGTGTTTTGTCAGTTAATAACAGGCATATTCAGTCTCATTCTACTCTAAAAGAATATTATTTAACAGGATTGTCTCTTAGACGGCAACTCCAACAATGAATGTAGAACATATAAAACAACGTATAGTGGTTTGTAGGCCTGTGAGAAATCAAAGTTGATGAATATTCATTCTATGTAAATGAAGTTATGACAACACCTTAATTATAAGAAAACATGTGACTGAAGCCACATATTTGGATAGAAAATCAACATTTTTTTAACGTGGATACAGAACGTCACTATGGTGATTAAATTTAGTCAAACACTGAAAGTCCAATGGTTTTTGTTTGTTTAATCCTTACCGCCAACGTTGTTCTTGTAAGCGCTGTAAATCTCCTTTATTCTGCGATACCGGTAGGCGAGTTTTCGCATCCAGTCGACCCCGCCCCGCACCCCCGTGGCTAGACAGAGATTGGCACTTGTCGCTGCCGCGTGGAACCCGTCTGTCTGAAAGTTGTAATTACTGTCAAAGACACAAAAGAATGGAATATATTAGTTAAGGACATAAGGCTGTTCAAAATCAATAAGGTGGAGGGGGGGAGGGGGGGAGCAGTTGACTGCAAAACTTGTGCATATGTTTTCTCTATTTTCTCAAAATGTGTAGCATCCACTGAGCTGAAACTTCAACAGGTTAGTTGTTATGCACCGTACTTAAAAATTTGAGCAATTTTGATGCTAGAAACATACAATTATGTTAAAAAAAACAACAAAAAAAACAATGATCCTTCGTGCCTCTCAGTTGCTTAACAAACCTATTTTAGCTGTATTTGCATGACTAACACATCAAATATGCCATCTTATTTATCAATACTTTTTTAAAACCTCAGATATCTTTCACAAAGTCATAGCCATTTGGGAACACCATTATTAAACGTGATGGTACATTACTGGCCCCTTTTACAGCATTTTGGGTCATAAGCTTCAGACCAAACACGCCCCCCCCCCCAAAAAAAAACTAATAAGAACAGGTGAAAACCCATTTTTATTCAAATTAGGTCGACAATGGTTCGGCTACAGAAACAGGTGGACAAATCCCACCGTATCCTGTCAAAACAAAGCCGGCTGAGTTTGTCTTGTCAATCCACGGAGCAACACGAGACGCTGCGTATTTTTTTTCCTTGGAGGCACCCCCCAAGCAGGTATGAATAATGCATACTTGTAACACGCTGTATCTTGTAACAATCTTTGAGCGGATTGTTGTTTTCAAGACTGTTTTCAAGACAGGGTGGTGCAAAAAGAAGGAAACCACAATTGACAGCAATTTTCACCTTTCAATTTAATGCTATTAAAATGTTGATCTTTAAACATAAGTGACAAAAAAAACGACTGCAAATGTATATTTTGTCTCTGAGATATATGGTAGTTTAATAATTTCATGTGCCAAACCTGTTTGTTCACGGACGGCTTTATTCCATCCGCTTGACTGACCTCCGGAACTTTATTTGAAGACAAAAACACTACACTAGACTTACATGTGAATAACAGTGATTTTGGTGACTTGTATTCAAATTAGCATAATAACACTATTCTTGCGAATTTTTTAAAGATTTATTTCACCACGTGTTGTTGAAGAGCTTTACTTCACTACATTAAGAAAGCACAGTTAAAGTTAAGTAAGTAGGTTAAAATTCCTGTCAAAAGTGTGTTTCCTTCTTTTTGCACAGCCCTGTATAACATGCATTTCAGTTCAAGGAAACTAAGTTGACAACTACAGTACACTATCTCTACAGCAGTGGCACAAGTTTGCATGGGATATTTCAGTTTTCTAGTTTATAAAAACCAGGCATGCAACTGGTAACTTACAAAAAAAGAGGAAATTCAAATCTTTCCAAGACTTTGTACAGTGTTTTTCTATTTTCAACGGCACACATGGGAAGTCAAAAAAGAGGAAATCAGCTGATCCGAGGAAAAGTTGCATGCCTGAAAAACCCTGCACCGGGCACGGTAAAAACAGAGCAGGATTGCTTGTTACACTGTTTGATGGATACAGGCTAATGATTTGCACAAATCTGACAGGATTCTGCCCCGAGGAATCTTGAAGCCAGGTCGGGGAGAAAAACTGAGAGACACATGTCACGGAAAAGGAAGGAAAAAAACAAAAACTCTTGGCTATTATTGGCTGCCACGAATATGACACAAATATGAAACAGGTTTTGTAGCCCGGAGCGATGGACTGTCAGTGTAGGCGGACTGGTCAATATGCAATGAAAGAAGAAGGAAAATATAAAAAAGAGGGGAAAAAAAACATTCTCCACGGCACTTCACAAACATTTCTGCTTGGCACAAGATTTGGAGATTGAAATTCAATAGTTATAATAAATATTACAACAGGCATGCAACTGGTAAGTAACAAAAAAGAGGAAATTAAAATCTTTCCAAGACTTTGTACAGTGTTTTTCTATTTTCAATGACACACATGGAAGGTCAAAAAAGAGAAAATCAGCTGATCCAAAGAAAAGTTTCATGCCTGTTACAAGCTGCATATTATCCAGCTGTTTTCTTTTATTTGTTGCTTGGTTCAATTAACAAAAACAGGTTATTCTAATTGTTTGTGTTTTTGGTGGGCACATATATCTATACCTGTGAATGATATAAGTAAGGGTGTGTAGATTTGGAAAGAAACATAGAAACTGTAAGTTGATTATGTTCATTCAGAAACACACGAGGATACATTTTCAGTTCTCTAATACACAAACTAGAACAAAACTTGGCATTGGTTCAAAAGAAATATCCACCAGATATCCAAAGAAAATAAATGTTATGGACAGTGCACACTGATACTGAAATTTGTATCCTTGTGGAGACATTTCTTTGTTATCGTGTAGTAAAGTTTTTGAGTTTGAAAGTGTACTTTCAAAATGCTCTTAATTTTAACCAGAATTCATTTCCTTGGCTGAAAATCGGACTTAATATCCCTTTTCTAAAACTCTTCCATTTGCGACGGATCAACCCACCTTGGAAATTCCTAGTTTTGAGTAAAATCCATATATCATATATCTGTTTTGTGATAACCTTGTGGAGACGTATTCATCTATAGAAATTGCCCTGTGGATACGTATACAATATTTTGTTCCCTGTTGTGTGCATGTCTCCAGAGGGCATGGTGTATCAGATCACTAAGCTTTATCTTTTAAACATTCAGTTTGTATTCTGTTGCGTGAATGAGGGTGCAAATGCTGACTTTTCCTAATAAATTCCATACTGCGAGATTTGAAGAGAAAATCCTGTTAGTTACCCAAAAGCATAGCTCTGAAATCTTGTGATTAATTGTGCTGGGTTGTGTCAAAAGTAAACGTATAGATTCCTTTGTGAATCTTGAATGCAGAGGCTGGATGTACGATAAATGTGACCCGCTCTGCAAAAATGAGTCTGATGTCGCACAATTTGAATTCAAGCTTTTGCCATTTTGAAATGGAAACAGTAAAAATTTGCTCAAAATTTGGATTTTTTGTTTTGTTTTATTTTGGTTGTTTGATAGTTTTAGTTCAAATATCTTACACAGAAATGTAAATATTGTAAGAAAAAGAAAAAAAATTATGAATCTTTGGTGCTTTTCTTGGTTAGTTACAGTGTATTTGTCATTTTTCAAAGCCTTTTTTCTCCATTGAGACACTTCTAGCTTTGCAAAAACTTTACAGAATGAAACAAGCACAACAATGCAACCAAATGTCCTAGAGAGGTCCATGATATACCAAATGAAAGCTTATTTCATTCCCATTTTATTAATGTAGTTAACTCAAAATGTCAGTTTTGCCACAACAGACTCATTTTTGCGGAGCGGGTCACAAATGAAAAAACAAAAATCTCGGAGCTCTTAAATCTTTTTTCTTTTTCTTGACGGTTTCGCAAAGTGTGCACAGGTGCTAAAGACGAGAAACGTTCCAATGTTTGAGGTCTTCGATAGTGCCAAAAGCTATGGCAGGAGGGTGTTGTAAACTGTTACTGTATGCATAAACTAATCCAGGCCTAACCCTCAGGCAACTTTGGTTGTGTGTCACTCACTGTTCACACACACAAAAAACCAGTACAACTTCTGACATTAATATTGCAACAAGGGGTCTCCGATGTGGATTACCTTTCCTAGCTGTATGGAAAATTTGTTTTCGTAGCCAACAGAGCAGAAAATGGGATCAGTTTCTTGGGGAAAAAAATAAACGAGGGGAAGCCATGAAGCGAGAGATGGCTCAGGGGGGTTTGAGGGAAAAGAGGGTCCACGGAGGAGCTTGTAGGAAATGAAACTGATTGGTTTACTGCCAGAGGGTACTGGGAGGTGATTGGTTAATCCTAGGCTGGGGATGACTGGAACTTGACGGCCGGCAGCACAGTTAGGCAGATTTGCTTCTCACTGTTGCCTGCTCATAACAGTTAGGCAGATTTTTTAGGTCCTGTTATTTGTATTAAAAGTTAGGCAGACCATGTTCTGCCTTAGGAGCCAACAGCTTTAAGCTCTAGCAGGAGCTTCTACTAGTCACTTGGTGGTAGGTCCGTCGGTCTATCTGTCTGCCTGTCCCCGAAAATTTACCAAAAATATTTGACCAAAAAAATTGATCAAATGCCATGCCATGGTCATATAATTATTATGAGTGCACTCTTGCCGAAAGTTTTCGGAAGACTTGCTTTGTTTCGATCAATGCGCATGCACGTCTTTTTTACATATGAAGTGAGACATTCCCAAACCGGGCCAGCACTCACGCTTGTTTAACCATAGAACAAGGAGTTTATATACTTTTTAATCTCGAAGAAAATTTCAAGATCAGTTTTGTTTTTACTTTTGTCAGATATGTGATAGAACATAAATTGAAGAAAACAATGCAAGACCTTTTGAGGGAGCTTGAAACCAGATTTTTTTTTTTTGAAGGGGGGGAATTTATCTTCATCTTGTTTTACAGCTTGTTGCCATGGTGATTTCTCATGATGCTTACCTGAGGTCTTGGCCGTTGTCGTCCGATGCCACATCGTCTATGTGAACTTGATCACACTCCTCAAGGAGCAATAACAAGTAAAAACAAAGAGAAAGAAAAATATTGCATTAATTATAAACGAATCATGCGTTTACGGACGCAACAAAGGTGCTACCAAGGAAAGACATAGTTTCGTAAGTAGGCCTTTCAGCCTTCCAAGATTTTCAGTCAGAATCTTTCCATCATAAGTCCACTACAATCAGGTTTCCTACCAGGTTTGAAACTTTCGCCGGATGAATCTTAACCTAAACAGATATTTAAAAAATGCAATCCCTGTCAGAACTACTCTGCGTGAATGGGCTGTTAAAAAATTAAGACCTGTATGTTTTTTGTTTTTGTATTTTTTTTATGTGGCACCCCCTCTCTAAAAAATACCACAGAGACAATTTTACCTATGATCAGTGATAGACACTAATAAGTTTGAAATTTCGAAAACTTGATCAGTATTGATAAAAATAAGTTTGAAATGTTGAATCTAGGGTGTTTAGCTCCCAATTCAAACATCGACAATATGTATTGATGATTTCTGGAAAGCAAATAGTGTGTTTAGGGTAGAAGTATTTTTTGGGTCCAAAATACTAGTTTTGTCCCTAATTTCTACATGAGAAAATGGAGGTTTTTCTTTTAAGCAGAGCCAGGATATAATGGCTTTCAGGGTCCACTCAGAAATTTGGGTTGCAATAACATCTATCTTTTCTTGAAAGGGAGGTTTAACTGCATACCCACTTAAAACATAACCTTGGATCACTAAACCTCAAGCAAGCAAACTGGGTAGATTTTTTTCTTATTCAGCAAGAGACTGGGACATGGTCTGTGCCCTGACCCTGAGGCCACCAAATCATTTGTTTTCACAGTAAACAGGTTTAGTCTGGTTGGTTTTCTAAAGAAGCATGTGGTGTGGTCAGTATAGGGGTGGGGGGGGGGGTGGTTAGGGGAGTGCACGAGACAGTCTGACTATTGAGGTTGTATTGATAGGCCTACACACAAGGTTGATTGTCTGTCCCTAAGGTAGCCCTAAAAAAGGGGGAACATTCTTGGGCCATTTGTAAAAGGTGACAAATTCTTGTGAAATCAGAGACTGAGAAGTAAGAAACAGGGTGAATCGTTCAAGTAAAAAAATGTTTAAAAAAAATGCATTTGGGAGATATTAAGTTCAAAACCTTAGCACTTCACAGAAAGGAAGTCCCATCAATAGCATTATCACCTCTAAACAAAGTTTTCTCTGTTGTTGAGATACAAGAATTAATGTTCAAATTCTGAATCATAGCGATAATTTCAAAATCAAAATTCTTAACAAATTATAGCATCTGCCTAGAAACAAATTATATTCCAGTTTTGTATCATAAAAATTACCTGAAAGAAAACTGTGAAGCTTTTTGGTTGAATATTAAAAAATAAAAATGATCACAGAATACTTTCCAAATTAATTTAAAAATGGCTGCCAACTTTCTTTTTTTCTCTGTTGTGAAGCCCCGAATGCCACAAAATTTAGATTTTCACTCTTCCAAATGCAACGCCAGCGACCAAGATTTTTATCAGTACAGTTTTGCTTGCGAATCAAATTGGCATTGGCTGTGATAACAGAAACACATGACAAGGAAAAGCAACACTAAAGTAGGCAGGTTTTCGCAATGGACTGTATATCCAAAACCAGACATTCTAACAATAGGGGGGAGGGGGGAGGAGGGGGCAAAGATGCGAAAGAAATGATTGCACACTGGTAATTATCGCCTGCAGGATCAAATACTAATCAATCTATGGACATGCCCGCATTTGCTGGCAAAGGGGCACACTAAGAACATTCCTCTAGTTTCTTTTTTTTCTTTTTGTTCCTTTTTTTGTTGGGGGGGGGGGAGGTTTAAGAACAGAGCTCAGGAAAATGGCAAGCGAGCATTTTTCTATTAGTGAGCAACCACTACAGCTGCTCCCCTCTGGCAACTCATTTTCAAGATCTCCATAAAATATGATGGCAGACTTGAGGACAGGAAAGGAAAAAAAAATGGTGAAGGAGAAAGCGAGAGATGGATGGATGGAAAATACTATGAACCAACGCCAGACAAAATATAAAATAATAAGGGCCGTTTGGCGAGTGGGGCCCCAGGCTGTTTTTCTTTCATCTAGAAAATGACACGGAGGGACTAGGAACGGGGAAAAATAGGCTTGGCTTTCTGGCAATGTTGCATGGGGTTTGGGCCGGGGAAAGGATCGGGGCTCGGGCCCCGGACCGAGCGGCAGCACTGGAATATGCTCAAGGGGTTCAACCAAATATAGACAGATTGGGAAAGCCCTGCGGCAAACCGAGCCTCGGACAAAAAATTACTTGGGAAGAGAAGACGAAGCTTGGCTCCTCGACAAAAAAAAGGAAAATAAGAGAGAAGCGAGAATGGGAAAGGAAGGGCTTCTTTTGATGAGTTGGCGTAAACAGCCGGCTCCAAATCTCCAAATTATGAGATGCTTTGCGAAGGGGGAAGAGATGGGGATACAACACCGTAAGGATTCTCCCAGGGATGGAAATTTCATTTCGCTGACAGGGCCTAGACAAGAAAAAAAAGTCGCCTCTGTACCGCGGGGAGCTGGCAGCAATTGCCCTAATTCCTGGCTTGCAGCTATCTAGAAAGGGGGCTGGCGGAAAAGAGGTAAGGAAGAGAGACGAAGAATTTTTCTGACAAATGGATGGGATGGCTGTCCGTCCCCCGAACCCGGGGAGAACGCAGACAGACAATCGTGCACACGTTACACCGAGGAAAACACATTAAGAAAATGAGATCCACCAACAAACGGGGGCAGATCCTCTCCAGTTGCCCCAGCGTAATGAAATGAGGCTAAAGAGACATTCACCTGACTACGACAGTTGCGTGGAGAAACACCATTTCAATTATTCGCCATTACTATCATCAATATTAAAATCTTTTCACTCATTAGCCAACCAAATAATAGGAAATACCAAATTAAGGATTATAACTTTTTCTTCAAATCATTATCCACCATTTTTTTTAATCATGAGCAAAATCTAAATTTTTATTTTAATCTTAAAAAAAAAAAAAAAAAAAATATTTCGGCTCTTTGAGACATGGTCGGACATGAACATTGTATACAAGTGCTACTCACACAAGTTCGGTATTAAAATATTTTGATTTTTAAACTTTCAAATCACTCTGTAAAGATTATGTTTGGAATTGTTTGGGTAATTCTGAAAATCAGGAGTTCAGCCTTAGAAGCAGGGATGAACGATGACCAAATTCCAATGCAAAATAAACAGAAACTAAACAAGACCCTGATAACTCGCTTTCCTCTCTCCTCCCGAAAAACAAAACACTGCTTCTTGTCCCGAGCCCGGGCCTCCGAAAAATAAACCATTTTCCAACACAATGAAATTATCCCGGGGCTAAATAATTCCTTGCCTCTTGCTCTAAACACATTAGGGCTTTGCTAACTAGCCGTAATTCATTCCTGGCCAAAAACTGATTTGACTATGGGATGCCCCCAGGCAGGGACAGATCAATCAAGTATGGGTCTCCCCCAAGCTCAAGACATTTTTTTCTCTGTCTCCTAGCTCCTGTCCTTGCTCAAAATTAGGAAGAGCGAGCCAGGAATTTCCACCAAAAATACCCCTTTTTTCTTGCAAGGGTGTTCATTTCTGGTTCTCTTTTTTTCTTGAGGGTGGCTCTGCCAGTACTGCTATTGGCCGGAGCCTAGCAGTACATGCCCGAGGCACGTAGCTGCACTGTGTGGTACCTGCGCCGAGCCAGAGACACCACGTTTTACTTCTTTTTTTCGCTTCTATCCCAGGCTGTTTCCTCTGCGTGATTTGCGATCAATTCTCGACGCGGCCTGTGGGTTAGGTGAACAATTGATTTTTGGCTTCCGTAAAGATATCTTAGATAGTTGTCCATGCGTGGGGTGGCATACTCTCGCTAAAGCGGCCGCCGTAATTTTTTTTCCCCCCAGCAACAGGGCATTGACCAACAGTTGGAACCGTTTCCAAATTATGAAATTCACTTCACAAGGAGTTAATAAATAATAAATAAATGTGGTGCTTTTTTATAGCACTTTCTACTAACGTTCTCAAAGTGCTTTACAATAATTTCCCCCGTTCATCAGGCCATGAGACCATTTTTCTAAAGCAGCTCGAGATCAGCTCAATCTGGTCTCTACCCTCGCTCGCACAAGCTCACAGGCACCTATTTATACTCTTGGGTGGAGATTGGCAATTATAGTAAAGTGTCTTACCTAAGGACACAAGCACAAAGCGCCAATACTGTTCTTCCCGACCACGTTTCTTAATAGCATATTCATCAGACTTGTCTAAAACCATTGCAATTTTCTTTTATTTATTAGAATGATTGATAGTGCATTCGCACTTTCCTCTTTTGCATTTTTGTGGTCTTTCTTGATCCTTCTTGTAAATTTTTTTTGACATGTTGCAAATTTATTTCTCAAGAGTGTGATAGAAAAATCATCCAAACATTTCACAAAATATTATAATGGAATGCTTTTGGAATGAGGGATGCCCAAAGGGTGATCAAATTATTGTCTGAAATAATAAATCAGCCAATCTTTTCAATTCGAACACCGAGACAACAGGTCTGCAAACAACCAGGTATCGGTTACGCCGGTCCATATATTTTGATTCCCCGACGATGCTGAAAAAAAAAGTTTTTCCTGTCCGGCACTAAACAAGAAAATGGCCCGTTTCTTGTATAAGCATTGTGCATCACCTATTTTATTTTTTTCTCTCTTTTCCTTTCCTATCTCAAGGGAAGATGGCAATTTGCAATCCCCCGTAACTGAGCGTGGCGGTAGCCCCAACGTGCCAGGGTATCTGCCAAAATGCCGTGGGACAAGCGCCCATCTTACTTTACACACGGCCAAATTGATTTTCTGATTCCGCTTTCGTGAGATTCCCGTCTATCTCTCTGGCTGAAAATGCAGCACTTGTCCCGCACGCGGCTTTTCCGTTCGACTCAATTTTTTGTCCCTTCAAATTTCTCACTGTCCTCTCTCCGCTTGGCAATTCTATTAATTTCATATTCCCCAACTGCGATTGACGGATCTGATGCGATTTTTGGCAGATTATAAATTGATCCTAATTTCTATGTAAATATCGCGCGTATCGCATATCGTTCTTTATGACACCAGCCTATAGGACACAACGTTCTTTTCTTGATAGATGGGTTGCGTCTTAACCACCTTAATTTTCAAACGGTTTTCTTTCCGGGATGGATTTCACTCTGTTAAACTGACATCCAGCTTTTGTTTCAGAACGATGGTAGATGCTCTTCTGATACAGACGAAGCCGTGTAAACTCGCAATTTTCTCCATGGATACCATACCACACAAAAAAAAAAGGCAAGTCAATTTGACCAGCGTTGTATGTACACTACTTATGGAGGTTGAAATTACACTCAGAAGTCAGACATTTTTGGACCATTTAACATATCTGGCCAAACAAAAACAGATGCGTTCAGTCCAATCTTGAACTCAATTTTCACAAAACTGGACATTTTCAAGAATTGGATGTGCTACTCGTTTATTTTGTCTGAGCATTTTTTGTGTCTCATTGAACCTCTTACTGCATTCTTCAAAGCTACCGGTAAATTTACGAATTCTCGCTGCTTACCTCTAAATCGTTGAAGAAGAGATGCGTATCGGCAAGGTTGAAGATCATTTCTTCCATCCGAAGACCTAACGATACCGACGCTGGAGCGTCCTGCCAAAACAAAAAAGACAAGGAAAAAAAAAACCTGTCAAATTTCGTTCAACTTGAAGTTGCACATACTTGCCACCCCTTGGGACAACTCAATAGGCCTTGTTCTTGAGCGAGTGAGGGCGCTCTAACGACTGCATTTTGGGCTATAAATAGATGTGAATCTAAGGTTAGGGGCAAAACTTTACACATTGCCAAAGCTCAAAAATTACATTTTTACTTTTTTCCCCGTTTTTAATTTAAGTAAATTGACTTATCTGCTGGGATAAATGGGATTTTTCAAGTGTTTGTACCCAGAAAATGGCGTCATTAAAGCGCCCTCTCTTGTTTGAAATTATGGTCAATTATCATGGAACGTAGACTTATTGCCGAAACTGTACATGACGTTGTGTGGTCTACTCCAAGAAGACAAATGATGCTTCATGTTCAGGTACATGTTCTTGCTGCGGTTCACTCATTCCCTACTTTTTTTTTTGAAAATTCCGTCTTTAACCCCACAGTTGGCTCACCTGCTATGAAGATTAATTTCCTGTGACCCTATACCACTTTCAGGAGTGTTCTGATAACACTGATAGTAAATACATGTAGTAATATTAGTCTGTAAGTGGTAGGCAGGTGTGTTTAGTCAGGCAAAAACACCTGGAAAAGCAAGGTAGCTCTTAAATTACTAGCAAGAACAAAAGTTTGCATAAACTTGTGTAGCTACAAACTACTTCATCAACTTCTTCATTGCATCTAATGAAGTAGTTGTAGCTACGAAAGCTTATGCAAACTTTTTTATTCTTGCTAGTAATTTAAGTGCTACCAATTCAAGTACCATACTTTTTTTTAAACACATTAGCACCTGGACTTCATTGTTTTACATTGTGTTTATTCACTCGACAAATCAATAGAACCATAATCAATAATCGATAAAACCATAATCGATAAAACCATAGAGGGCTTGGGCAGTTTTGGGCGGTACAATGAATAAAAGGCAGGATGGTTTCAGGCGCTACAGTAACTAAAGGGTTAATATTAGGCTAGTGATTACAAGTTTGTATGCCCCTGTGAAAAGTACATTTAAAGTTATCCATTTCAGGGTCTGGCACAACTACTACAAAAAGGAAAGATAGTTTATCACAGGGCCTGTTTTACAGACCAGTTAGTTTCACAGTTTTGATGATTATTGAAAGTCTTGATGGTAAAGTATTGAAAAGGAGTAAACACAAATGGCATTGAGAGTCAAGTGCTGCCTCTATTTATGAAGTCATAGATTTTATCCCCCCTCCCTCCACTTCACACACCACTCAACAGGGACATAAAATCTAACTGTGCTTTTTGGGACTTCATCGGGACATTGGGGCAGCAGAAGCTGAATGCTCTCCACTCTTAAAGGGGCTACCGCCCGGCCGGATATTTCATCACTTTGGGTCATTTGGTGCTTTATGGCCAGGCCACAAACCACAAATACACAGCATACTGATGACAGTTTTACACTCGTCCCTTTCCCAATGACATAATATTGCACTGCAGTGCTGGCTGAAGCATCGAGTTGAAGAAATAGTGTGTTGATGATTGGACCACAGAACATTGCCCAATTTCATTACATTCTTATTTGCATGGCACAAAAATATTAACCAATATACAAATATAACATGGTTTGGGGGTGGATAGTCGATATTAGCTCCCCGAGGTTTTGGAATTTCCTGAGGCAAAGCCGAGGGATCTTTATGTAGTTTGTCAACATCTTATAAAATACCTCAGTCATATAGGCCCTAAATCTCAAAATTTTCGTGGAGTAGCACATCAGTTATCTCAGCAAAACAATGCTGTATGCGTGTCGCCATCTTTTCATGTAGCTAGGCGGTGTTTGTGTGTGCACACTATCCCCGTGCAATAGTTCCACGAAAGTGCATTGCCGCATGGGTTACCTGTGCGATAGTCAACTAGTGCATGCATATTTACCCTGCGCGTGAATCTTTGATGCGCGCTTAGCAAACTTTTTTGTGCTTAGCCTGCGTCAGCCGAGAACCAGTCAAAGAGCTGTATGCATTGAATGGCATTTTGGCTGGTAACCAAGGTCACATAAAGCAGAAAATACTGCTACAGGTTAGCATTTTGCTTGTCCTTAACAGCTCCATGATGTTTGCTAAGGTCAGACAGAACAGGCAAAAAGTTGAAAAAAATCGAGAGAAATGTATGCACATAACCAAAAAATGATTGAATTAAGTTGTATTTACCTCCGTGAAAGAGTGTGAACCTTTTTTTTTAAACTTCCACAAAAAGAAAAGACATAATAATGAATGGGATAATTATATAATTCTCCTGAAATTGAAGTTGGAGTCACAAAATAAATTGCAACTGTTTTGTTAAATTACGCCAAATTGAAACTGATTCACCGTAAAAACAAAGGTTCAGTATGAATCTTTTAAAAAAGGAAAACAAACAGGCTTAAAACTTCCGACCGTAAAAATCATCACAAAAAATTCTCAACGCAACTCAATTAACCTCAATATTTGGTCCCTGTCATTTTATTTTTCCCCCGACAGTTTCCATCCACTCAAATGTTCAGATTGTTTTTTTTCTCCCAAACTAAGAAACTTGTTAAGAAGGGCTTGCACTCTGCTGTCGCAGCATTTGTAAGTTCCAAGCGCTGAGAATCCTGTTCCAATAACTGGATTATGCACCTCAGACTGCTTTTAACACTTTGCCTAATCCATTTAGGGTTCCGGGCCGGAGCGACTCTGATTCAATTTTGCCCCCTTGTCAGAAATGATGTGAAGTTGGCACAATAACATGCAGATGCGAGTCCTGATGTTTCTTGGCCACGCAATTTTTTTTCTTTCTTGAGTCAGTCGGACTTGATCTGGTTTTCAAGCTTGCACGAAGAGCAGTTAAGAAAAAAAAAAGGAAGAAACACATTTGATAGTTTGAACTGATTAGGTTGACACATATTTGAAATGTCAAAACACACGCGGTAGACAGCACCGAATGTAGAAAACGTCATTATTTTGTGAAGGGATATCTTCATGCCAAATACCTGAAATCAGTCTTGCCAAAAAGTTGGATTTGCAGGAAAGGTTGATGACACAGTCTTTTAAAGGGGGCGTAGGCATGTGAAGTTTGCATTTGGAAAAATTTACAAAAATTTTAAACAAACAGCACACAAAATGTGCAAATTTATTTTTTGTTTAATGGGTAGGCTCCAAAGGGTGTTCAAATCATAATAAATTTTGATTTTTGAAGATGTCTGCACTAGTATGCAGGAAGTCGTGGGTTCAAGTCCCACCTAAGTACAGTATTTCTCACAATCGCTCGGGACAACACTGAGTTTACAGTGTTCACAAAAATATGTTGGTGAAGGGCAAAACCCAATATTAAATTTACATCATCCGACGCAAATTCCATTTTATGAATAATGTATTTTGATGTAGACTTGCTTGAAATGGCTAGTACTAAGTAGGAGCCTAAACAATTTCTTCTTTATGAAGGAATTGAAGAACTTTAACCACAAAACTAAAACAAAGACACTAAAAAACATGATTTTATAAGAGCTCTAAGGGTTCCAAAATAATATCCGTTAAAAAAGGGCTATTCTTCTTTAAATCAATACAAGTTACGTAAGGTGGGTTAAGAACTTCGGGAAATCGGAGTTAAGAAAGACAGACTAAAAATGTGGCACCAAAAGGCCTGCACTAAAAAGTAAAAACTAATTTCAGAATTTTACCTAAAGGTTGCAGTTTTGTGTTTCTGGCTTCACACAATTTCTCAGTCCATTCAGGATAATAAGGGGGATCAAAGTAACAAAGCCCTAACCACATCAACATTTGAGGAATTTAGGGCCCCAGGGCTGGGTGTCAAGTCAGAAAGCTGTCAGAAGCAAAACTGGGAACAGGCCATGTGATTTCAATTTGGCCCAGCCATGCACACAGCTTGTCTGGGTGACTAGTATAGTTTGATGTTGGTGTTTTGAGATCAGTGAGTGAGATCACTAGTGCAAAGTGCTACCCAATCATCCAAAACGAAGGCCACATTTTGCTTGCGGAACATATTGGCTGGATTAGGCAATTTAGGCTTAATTCCTTGCAGGCACTGTTTCTTCTTTTCCCCCCCACTTATTGACAGTTCTACAATCTAATATCTATCATGAGGACAACTGTTCTGAACTTTTTGCTCTCCCATACACATTTCTATAACTGCAGGCCTTTTACAAATGAATATCTGAATCTTAAATTGCTTGAAATAGCTTGGTTGTATCAACAATTGCTTGAAAATATTTGTTCACGACGGAAAGTTATGAATATATTAAAGCGCATATAAAATAAGTCTAGTAGATACTTTTTCCCCCAGCAGAATCCTGAAAACTACAAAAGATATTTACATACATCATTTCCCATAGGCTTTAGGAAATGAGAATGTGTTAAGGAAATTATGAAGAAAATAGTTTCAACAAATGGAATGATTGTAATTACTGACAAATATTTTCTCAGCTTTGTCAATGATCACACTCAAAGATAATAACTGACCAGGGAAAAAATGTGATTGTAATTGGGGTGACTTGGGGCCTCAGATGGGTGTTTTGAGGACCCTGGGGTAACTTCTGGCCCAGCTAGGTACATGTATGGTTCTTATGGGGATTGCGGTTAGGCCCCATACTGACCTAGGGAGGGCCCCATACTGACCCCTAGCATCTGTCAATCATATTGGACCTGTCAAATGGAACCTGGGCTGATATTTTAAAGATACGTTGCACACATTGATTTTCTACATGTAGGCAATTCCAGCATTATGAAAGTAAGTATTATGTCCGTGACAGAGACAATTAACCATGAACTCTAATGAATGATTCAGAGAAATGATCCAAAACTCCTAGTCTGTAATCTCCTTGGCCATTACCAGATGATGAATGTATGAGATTTGAAAAATACATTTTCAGGCTTATTCACAGAGCTTAAAACTCAGTCACAGACATCCACAACACTGCAATTGCCTGTGTATAAATATTAAAGGCAAAGGATTAT